TTGAACTTAAATTGCCTTTCTCTACTTAGAAACATCATGATTTTCATGAAGGAAACCTTTCTGCTTCTTTATTTAAACAAAAACCATGGCCTAACGTGCAAATATAAGTGTACCAACATTTGAGTTTGAGATAGTCTTGTAAGGAATTGCTGAAGCATATGCTAAAATTAATTCATCACCTCCCCTACTTTCTCACAAACCTCTGACTGTTTCACTTGCACTTTGCTTAATGGTCCATCTTCCTCAGGACAACATATGTTACAAACCTCTCTGTAATTTCATGCTCTTACCTTGCAGGCTATGCTTAAAGAGAAGAAAAGAAAAAAAAAAAAAGAAAAAGGAAGCACTTTCTCCTTTCTTTTAAATGTAGCTCTTTTCTAAGTGCTAGGACAGGCACTGTCAGCTCTGAAAATTCAAGATTAATCAAGCAATTAAGAATTGCTATCTAGTGACTTATCATGACTGGAAATGAGAGATGCTGCATTCATTTTAGCTCTGCAAGAACCCAAAATAGCTAACCTGATTTTTATGGACAGCAAGATTATTTTAAATCTTTTGGGAAGGAGAAGGAGAAGAGTTACAATTCCTTCTATTAAACTGTTTCCTTCAGAACACCCATCTGCGTTTTGCACATTCCTTAGCCAAGGGCGGGTCTGTACAGAGGGCCGTGCTGGAAGAGCTGCTGTACTTCGGATTCACACCCTGCCTTGACCTGAATGAGTCTGGAAGCATTCAGAAATCCCCAGAGCAGGAGCCGAGATGAAGTTTTGCTTTCTCTTCCCATGTGCCAGCACAGCACTGCTTGAATAAACAACCCAACCGAGCAGAAATTACATCACCTTCAAACTGTGGTTTCTTTTAAACATTGAAAAGAATGGTAAGCATTTCCATTCATGTAATTATCAGCATTATCACCTCTCCTCACACCTCCTTCTCCAGATCTAATTGGTGCAACGGTAGGGACTTCCCTGCCTCCCCTCCTTGCCAATGGAGAGAGCCTTTGCAACTCAGCTGCAGCCATTTGCTTTCCTCTCCACAAGTTCAGTAACTTCTTCGGGAATCAGAAAGACTTTATGGGGTGAATGAGCAACAATTCAGCACACTCCCTCTCTAAACATTTATTTGGGGAACTAAAGCATACATATTTTGGCTTTCTATGGTAATTTAGCTCTCACGAGCTTTACTTAGTGCCAAAATGGTAGATGCATCCGTAAAAGAGAGGAGTAACTTCTCCAGCAGCTCTGCTACCTCAGCAAACAAACTGCAGCCAGACAGACGTGAGTCTGATTGATACCTGCATGAGAAATCAAAAATGAAAAGCAAAGTGCTGCAGAAACCGGTGCTGGTGACTCAGGAAGAAACTTTTTTCCCCCTAAACTAAAAGTAGCTCAGCAGCTCCTACTTTCCCAGCTACTGGCTCCTACCTGGACAACCTGGTGCAAATAAGAACATAGGAACCTGAATTCTGGTCCCAACTTCACCTTTGACCGTCTGCAATTTTTGAAAAGTCATTAAGTTCCCGAGTCTCCATTTTTTTCCATATATGAAGCTGAAATGACATACTGAGCCTTGCAAGAACTTCTGCAACCTTTGATTTTAATGGCACGTGTCAGTGCCAAAAGCACCATTACGGACATTACAGTGCTAATTCTCTCACAAGGGAGGGAAGCTCACTGTGCTACGGGTATTTTGGGTACAATTATTACCCCTGGAAGTGCTCAGATATCACGGCACAAAATTGTAGGCAGACGAATCTTTCAGATGGGATAGAAACCAGAGGCCCTGACAGGTTATTAAAAGACATAACGTTTTGAAGAAGCCCATATGCTAGCTTTTTCATGTTCACCCTGTTCCAATTTGGATAATTACATTCTGACTCCTTAAGGCAGGGTGGCTGACCTGCCTGGCCCTACCAGCTGTATATCCAAATCTTCACGTGGCCCAGACCGATACAACACAACCCACATATTTCAAAAAGGGGAAGGAAAAGAGGAGCTCCAGGAGAGGTTCATCAGTTAGTGAAGAGAAGCCTCCCTCCTGGAACAGGAACCCTCCCAATCCTGCCAAAACAGTCCTTGCCTCAGAAGCTGACAACTTGTCCTGCTGTATCACTTTTCCTGGGAACCTGCCTGGTATTGTCAAAGCACCATCACCCTTTGTCCCCAGATAGCTCTACCATTGCAGCACTGATGCTGTGAACCTTGAAGATCCACAGCTCATAACACAGTCCAGCAGTTTACAGGACTGGTTAGTATTAGGGAAGAACCTAGTAACATACTAGTTACTAATAGTAACCTGCATTTCTATTTTATCATTAACAAAGAAAAACATTTCATCCCTCACAGTAAGCAAAAACTGGCTTGCCCTAAAATCAAGCAACAGAAGATCCTGAAGATTCACATTCTCCTCTTCCCTTGGAGATCACTGATGCTGCTCCTTTTTATTTATAAACTCTCAATGATAACTTCACTGTGCATAGCAAATCTTGACCACCACAGAATCCCAAAACACAGAAAGAGTGGTGTCTGAGCCTTCATCAGCTTCCTGACATAGTAAAGAAGAGAAGCAGCAAATGGTGCAAAGGCTTTTTTCATAATGGACACACCATAAATTTTTCCAAACCCAAGATAAGATGCCATTTCCAAATGGTTAAAGAAGGTGGTGGCAGCTCCAAGCAGCCCCAAACATCTGGCCAGTTTTGCATTTCAGACACCAGTCTGACCAAATGATGGTGTCAGCAGCCACTCTCCTGTCCCTTGCATGTGCCAAGACAGCAGACATTGATATCTGATGAGGCAATTGCTCCAGACTTCATGGATGCAAAGGAGGGGCATCTGTCCTGTCCTCATCTCTTCACAGGTGCTGGTGGCACCTGAGCTATGGTGCAGAGCTGTGAGGAGTGTCCGAGTCACCAGCCCCAGAGGTTGAAGACAGTCACAGCTGGGGATGTTCTGCATGGCTGTAGCTGTGCACCCCTGGAAGCCTGTGGTCTGGGGGTTACCAGGGAAGCTGGCGGGGGATGTGGGCACGCAGGGGACAGGAAAGAGAGCAGAGAGGACCTAGGGCACCATCTGGTGGCTTTACTCACTGCCTTCCCTAAATCCCTGTCTCACAGGGTCATAATATCGCGTGGCCAAGGGCTGAAGAAACATCAGGTCTTTCCAAGAGACAGCCCAGCTGGAACAAGAGACTCCTGCCCTTGGCCCAGACTTGCACACCCTTAGGGCACTGCTGGCTGAGACAGCGGTGCAAACCAGAGCAGTAATAACCATTTCTCCTGGGTGCTGTTCAGTCAAGCATCTACCTTGACAAAGAATCAGCCCTAGCTGGGTATTTAGAGTTGATTTGCAATAGTGACATCCCTGAGAAGGCTGAAGAAGAGAAGACAGAAGTGATGAAGGAGAACACCTTGGACATACATTTCATTGGTGTTATCCACCACAGTAAGGTCTCGTTTACAGATAAAGGCAAAATATAGTTTGCATGTGTCATATGACAAAACGGTACCCATGCAAGAGCTTGTCCTCTGCAGAAAAGGATCAAACCAACAAACCAACGAACCGTTCAAATGCACCCTGGTTTTCCCCTTCTCAAATTAGGATCTGCTGTAAAGCATTATGAAGGAGTCGATTTAAAGGGAATAGATGACATCAGTGTCACCAACACCCTTTGCAGCAATGTCAGATAACACTGAGGATGATGACAGTGAGAGACTGCATCTCTCGGGACCAAAGGCTCATGCCTGGTGAAGAGGGCAAAGGATCCTAGTGCTAATATGGGACCTCCTTTAGAAGAAGGCAAGCAGTGCATTTCCACCTCGCACCACTGCTTACTTTGATAAGGAGTCTCCACTTCCCTGGAATCCTGTCAGTAGAAAAGGATAATTCAACACCTGGGAATCAAAGATTATACCACTATAACAAGAGAGCCTGCTCTGTGCATAACAACACCGTTCTGGGAGAAGCAAGTGGATCTGAGACCCTTATGGACACAGTTTTTAAGACAAATCTATTCTCAGCATTCAGATTAAAGCAAAATGTGTAGGGTGAACACAACAAGCCAGTCACCGCTTCTCCCCTTTGTGGAGCTGGGGGAGCCGATCCTTAATTCCCTTTTTTTTTTCCCCCAATTGCTCAACACTCAAAAGAAGGAACTTGTTTCCTCTTGCTAATAATATGCATTTTCTGCACTTATTCTCATGGGCCATAGAGCCAGGTAAGACAAAAAGACCAAATGATGACAAAAAGACTAAATGACTGCCTTGTTCCTGAACAAATCTCTGCTACAAAGTAGCTATAACAATATTATATAAATTATGTTTCCTAGTCTCTCCTACCTGTGCCTGCAGGCATTTCCTCATACCTCCTTGGAATCCATACCATTTAGAAACATCCCTGCTCCCACAGCCTTCTGCTGTATGCCTTTCTCTCTCACACGCTCTGTTGCTGCTGTGCTGCCCATGGCGCACGATGCTAAAGAAGTGATTTTAGATTGTGGCTACACAGATTTAAACTTCCTTTCTCTCACGAAGCAGCCTTCTACCCTTCCTTGCAGGGCCAACCCAAAAGCCATCGAAACCAACACAGCGACTCCCCCTCCCTCCCCCCCTTTCCCTCCCACCCTGATTTTGACAAGTTTTGGCACACAGCCCAAATCCCCACACTTGCCAGTGTTTCTTGGAAATTTTTACTTTTTCACTTAATTGATCAGAACCTGGTGTGATTCTTCCAGTACTTTAGCACTGACTGTTCTAGAACAGCATTTTCCATTCCAAATACTGTTCTTTCTCTCATGTTTCATTTTAAACAGCTTCAGCTATTTAATATATAGAATTGTTCAGGCATAAATGTAAGAAACATGCTATTTAAAAAGGTAACAGAAAGACAAGACAAATCAACTCACTGCAAATCAAGATCATTGCCAGGAAATTTCCAGCAGCACACAGTATTTTTAGCATTTATAAAATTTAAAAAACAAAACACAAAACCTAAGCATCATTATTTTGAAAGTTTTTACTTTTCATCTAATCCACCAGCTTCTGCTGAATATTTTATTGCCATATTGCAATATATTTATAATTCATTTCATCATTTCTTCAAATTTGTTAAGGAAAGGAATTGTTATATCTGTAAACTCTTCTGTGAACACAAATGTTTCCTGTTCAGATTAGTAAAATCTAAAACTTTTTATTTAAAAAATATTTATTTATAATTGTTGCAATCTCTTAACAAATGATAAACAGATCTAATAAGCCATGCTGTCTATTCATTGCTCTTTCTGAAATAAATTCCTCAGCACTGGGAAGAGAAAAAGCATTTTTCTGTGGTTAAAGAAAGTCCAAATTGCATGTTTGAAATCTCTTCTAATAAAAAGAGCAAAGCAATAAGCGGATTATCTCTTTAAACATAGTATAGGAAGGTTGGAGGCCCCGGAGACATTTTCCACAGCCTCTATCTCTGATACATAGCAACATTATCTTCAACTAGAGAGGGTCCTATGACCCTGGAGCTCAATTTTAATTTGATCTTCTTCTTTAAAGAGGTTTCTATGATTCCTCTCAAGTTATGCTGCATATTCTTATTTTGGGTTGGTTTGTTTGGTTGTTATTTTGTTGTTGTTTTTTAATCTGAGATAAAACAGCCTCGGCTTTTTTGATCCGCTGGTTTGATCGTGTTATATGGATATTTAATGTAACTTCTTCCCTATCAGAACTAGAATATGCATCAGCACAAATGGTAGGCAAGTTCCAGCTGACAGGGGAGAGAAGAACTTGGATAGAAAATTCACTTCTAAGGCCTTGCTTCTCCTCCCTCCAGTCATTTCAGAACTGGTCTCCCTGGCCAAATAACATATGGGGAGGGGGTAAAGGAGCCTTATACCATTGTACACCGGCCAGTTGAAACAAAGGCAAACCTATTGGTTCTGGTGGGCCAGAGGTACCATGCCTGCTCCCACAGAGGCTCAAAATCCCAAGCGATTGCCAAGAAGAGCAGGAAACTGGGGAACTCAGCTTGAACTTCTCTGAGCTGGAACCTGGCCCCAGACCTGCCTGGCTCATGTGGCCCCAGCAAGGGAGTTTCCTGAGGTTCCCACCTCCTTGTTCCTCTTTCTTGTTCTGGAATGGGCACTGTCACTGAGACATGTTGTCAGGCAGGGATATTTTCTGTTTTCCTTTTCTCCACCTTTATCTCTGTCAGTGCATCCAGTCCTTACCATAAACTGCTTATATTGCTGAAGAGGAAGCATTTACTTGGAGGCACTGATTTGAGTCGCCTGAATGTGGTCACAGCAGGCATCTGTGACTACTTGATGGGATTAGCAGATTATGAGAAAGCATGTTTCACTGTGGGGTTCCTGAGAAAAGAAAAATGGGCAGGTAGATGCTTGGATCTGGTTAAACTATGCATGTAGGCCTGAAGGCCTCCTCGGGAAAGCCACTAGCACAGGATCAGGTGGACTGCTGCAGGTTAGGATCTGAACTTCAAGCCAGCAAGTAGGGAGATCTCTGGATTGTCCTATCATTTGCAGAGGATCGAGAGTTAAGTATTTCAGCCGGGGCAGGTGAGACAAACCTTCACATATTGCCCATTCCCAAGATAAGTGCTTGAAAAAAGCAGCTTTTCTTTTGCATCAAACAGCTTTGCTGCAAAATAGCTTTGCTGCATCAGTGCAGACTGAGCCCTGAGGGATTTTAACAGATGCATTCTGTTGTTAATGAAGGGCAGTTTAGAAGGAGCCAGGGGTTCACAAGTCCCTTGTGCTTGTGCTCTGAAGTTACTGTAGATCTCTGCATGTATCTGCATCTCATCGGGGATGTAAGAGTAGCTCTGCCACACAGAAAGATGTCTGGTCCACACTGGGTCAGATATCTTTCCCCGTTAGATATTCTCATACAGTGTATCAGAGGATTCTTCTAGAGTTGCTTGCTTCTGAGGTGTCTGCAGAATGATGAAAAGGAGAAAAAAGAAATGGAGGAAAATCATTCAAAAGATGATGAATTAATTCTTAATAAGCAGGCACTGACGTTTGTTCTGCTAGAAATGGCTGTAAGTGATCTGCTGAAACAGAAGCCACTATAGTGAGAAATGTTGCTCCGCCAGAGACAAACGTGACTAATCCAGCCCAAGGGATAAAGATGCCTCCTTTACGAGTCACTCTTCCCCAAAAAAACTGTCAGACTGGGAGGGGAGGGAAAATTGGACTCAGTAAAAAAATAAATCACTTTGGATTCTGTGAAGGAGGAATTCCCTGACCTCCTCAATCCTGTTTCTTCAACAGTTGAGTCTATTCCTCACGACCGTTCCTCGTGTAGACAAGGCGCTGACAGACTGATATTTTAAGCGCTGTGTGGCACAGGCCTGCTGTAAGCAAGGTTACACAGCAAGCAGCTGAAATGCCACCGGCTGAACTGAGCTCTACCTACACTAGCATTTTCTCTGTTGCCACCACTAAAGGGAAACACTACAAAACTGCTGAGAGGAGGCACCTCCAAAGCATGTGGGATTAACCCCTTGCTGTCCAAACTGGCACACGGTCCATGCAAATGCTCTTGTTTCACAGGGGTTCTCTGCCCCGCTTCCCTTTACAGCTCCCCCTCTATGTGCAGCATCCCACAGCAAAGGCTAGGCTGGACCCTCTGCAGCAGAGTCAGACACTGTTCAGCAATCTCAGCTCCCACTCACAGGCCAAACCCACTGACCCACAAGTCTCACTCTTAGGGAAAATACCCTAAAAGCCAGCTGGAGGACGAGTGTCCCAGGCGGTGACAGCCCATGATGACTCAGGGAAGCTGATCAAGGTGCTTGCAACCATAGTGGAAAGTGCAGTCAAATTCTCCTGTGCTGAGATCATAAGGCCCTGCCACTCACACTTCCCTTCCTTCAGACCAGCACAAGAACTGAGGACGCTTGGTAACGTGTGAGAGCTCATCTCATCCCCTCTCCTTGCTTTCTTCTCCTCTCTTTCTCCCATCTCTGCTTTGACCTTTACCCCACCCTGGTCAAGACTACCAGTGCCAGACCTGCTCACATAGAAATGCTCCTTTGCTCTTGCTTTGTTGCTTTGCTGCTGCTCTGTTTTACAGACCCTCTGCCCCTCTAAGCAGCAGCTGAATGGTGTGGGCCACACACAAACACAACTCAGCACAGCTCAGACAGCTCCCTGGTAGGGAGAAACCTCACACATCCTATATCTTGCCACCCAGACTGAATAATTTCGAAAGGGGTAGCTGGTAAAGGTATACAGAAGAATAAACAGGACCAGGAAGAGGGACCCTATCCAACTATTAAAAATGCAGCAAGAACACAAACCCAGGGATTCTGTCTTTTCCAGTGCATCATGTAAGACAAGCCTATATAAAACAATCCTTTCTCCTCAGTAATCAGGGACCTGCCACTGCTTTTGCTACCACCAACCACAGTGGTGCCACAGCAGTAACTGCAGGCAGCCAGTGGCCGTGGGACCAGACCACGTGGCAAGTAGCAGAAACAGAAAGAGGCCGCTTGATTTTAGACCACCGTTTCCTCAAAGGTGGGAGTTGTGGAAATGCCTCAGACACTGGAATGAGACGCACTCATGAACCAGGGGGATGGTGAAACCAGGGGAATTATCCCCAATAAGACAGAAGTGGGAGGAAGCAGGAGACATTTTTCAGGAACATTTTCTAACATTAGAAGTGAATATATATTTTTTAAGCAGATAAGAGGTCTGGAGAAGAAAAGAAAAACAGAGTTCTGAGGACAGGAAGGAAGTGTTCCCTGGTGTGCCTGATGCAAGTTTTGTCCATATGAAACAGCTGACACCTGCCAAAGGCAGGGTAGAAGGCTGTGTGGACTCCTGGTCTGCTTCATGTGGCCCCCACAACTGATTTGCACCTGCATATTCCTAGTTGCATCTATTTTCACAATGAGTGAATTTAGTACAAGCCCAAAACATAGGCACATTGCCTTTTCCTGAGCCCCAGAGCTGACAGAGATTGTATCAACCCAGCCTCTGCTCAGACCATCTTAGCTTCTGCTACCATGAAATGGCTCTCAGGTGCCTAATGCTGGTGAGAGGAAAGCTGCGTCCAGTGCAGCTCCAGTGCAGTGCATCTGCTGCTGGTGCACAGATCCCTTTACCCCAGAGGACTTCACAACTGTCTAAATAATCTGGAAGGGGCAATAGCGGGGACCAGCATGTGCCCAACTCTCCATGAATGTCCATCCTGTTCAGAGCGAGCAGTGATGCCAAACCCCTCAGTGCCTTTCAGCATATGTCATACAGCAAAGCATCTGCTCAAAACTGTGAGTGCCAAAACTGGTCAGGCTGCAGGAGCAAGGGTTCTCCTGGAAGAGGGAAGATAGGCTACATGTGCAGCCCAGCTGGTGATTGCATGCCACATCCTGTTTTCCCCTTTTGGTGGGACTGGAGACACACTTATTGCCTGCCAGGTCATGGCAATTCTGTGGGATTTCTTTCTCCATGTGCTCAGTGCATATGGGAACTTTCCAAGAATAGGGCCCTAGCTCTTACCTTTCTTGGAGGATTTTTTTTGAGTGAAGGGTTCTTTGTATTGTTCTCGAGGACAGAATAGATATCAATTTGCCGCACGTCCAGGCTCTGCACAGGGGAAAAAAGAAGAAAATAGGGATCAAATAAATTATTGAGGTTTAAGACTACTAATTACGCACTGGGTCGTTCCCCATCTCACGCCTGATACTTTTTAGAAACCCCTGCCATCTCCAAAATTTTGAAGTTCCTGACCTGAACTTGGGCAAACAGAAAATCCTTTCCCTCTAAAATCCCTACAGTGCAACTGCATCATCTTCTTTTTTTCAGGCTCACAGAGACAGGCTTTGATGTTACCTACCCTGTGTAAGGCAGTGGAGAAGAATGCCAATGCCCCTGCCTCCCTCTGCTCCAAATTGTCTTGTCGCAGAATGGAGAATAAAGACCCCTCTGCCACAGGGGATGATGATGTGCACCATGGGGACATGGCTAAGGGGCAGTGTTCTGCATCACTCAGGACTGTTTAGGTGCCTGACACCCACAAGCCCTTGTTCGTGGTTATTCTAGGCACACAAAGGTGAGAAAAGGGGAGAGGCTGGGGGTCCTGAAGCACAGGTGCTGTTGAAAATGGGAAACCCTGCATTGGACAAAATTCCTGTTTATTGTCTGGGTTTGGTTTTTTTTTTCCAAGCCAGAACTCTCCTTTCTTTTTAGAGTGAGCAAAGAATAGTAAAAAAACTCCATATGCTCCCAGGCCCTCAAACATAACCGTGGTCCCACACAGCTACACAGAGAAACACACACGCGCCCTACATGCATATGCACTCGCTGTCCCCCAGGTAATCATGTCACAGGAGATGCATGTCAGTTTGAGTGATATTCCAGATCTGCCTGAAGGATCAAACATAACAATCGGGAGGACTTTTCCATGTGTTTTTCAAGGATGACAGCAGGTTGCCAAGGTGGCTGTTTCTCTGGCAACAGGAAGATGGGAGGAGCTCCGGCTGCAAGAGGGGCAGATGGTATTAGTGGAGAGACTGCAAAGGGAGCGAGGCGCCCTGAAACACAGAGAGGAGGATGAGCAAAACACAGAGGCTTGATTCAGGGGCTGCTGATCACCTGAACCCTCATCATTTCATCTGGAGTTGCAAACACTCAGCATCTTTCAGGATCATGGCCAGCAGAACAGTGGTTTGAACAGGACTAGATGATACAGGAGCAGCATTTGGGAGGGGGCCTTGGAATAAACAGGCACTCAGACATGAGGGGGCCACAGTGAATGGAGCACCACACATCTCTGCCATTCCCATGCCTTCTCTCAGAACAGTCAAATTATTTCACCTCTCTGCTTCCTACTCCCAAAACCCCACTTGCCCACACAGAGATTTTGCATGTGCCCATGTGCACACAGAAAATCCAATTTCCCCATCCTCATTTTCAATTCTCTTTGTGATGCTCACAGTGAGGACTTGTCCTGCGTGCTCCACTTCCAGCAGCCTGGCTCTGTGTCCCCTTGGCAGGACAGGCAGCCTCTTTCACTGCTCCAGTCTGAAGCCACTTGCAAGCAAAAAGGATCCTTTTGGTATTTAACCTCCGAAAAAGACTCCCTGCCTCCCCAAGCCTTCTTCCCATGAAGGCTGTTGACACTGCTAGTCCTTTGCTGGCCAGTTGGAAAGCTGGTGTCTCCAACTACCATTTGCAGTTAATTACTTTTACTTGGTCACTGACCACCTGCTACTGTCACAGTGGAGGCACACAGGCTACTTTCCTCCCTGCTGACAGATTCCTTCCCATCCCCAAGCAGCCTCCTGTCTTCCTCACACCTGGAAAAGCTCCTGTGCTCTGGAACCTGACTGCACCTGCACCACAGGAGTTCTGTTTGCTGCTCAAAAAAGCTTGTTTGAAGTGTAAAGCAGATGAAGCAAGGCCCTCAGATTGTTATTTCCAAGCTGCTCGTTAACTAGGCAGCTAAGCTGGAAATCAGAGGATATAGAGGTTTGGGTCTAGTGCAGTGAGGTAGAGCAGCTCCGGGGTTGCAGGATGACAGAGAGGTCAAGGAACACCTGGTAGTATAGAGAGAACAAAGTGGTTTCCCAGCTGCCCCCTCATGACCAGGGCATACACCCACCCCCAGGGACCACAAAGTAAATAGTGGCATCTGAAGAGCCACTGGGGAAGGCATTTGCTCCCAGGGCTGTTCAGCAGCAGAGCTTTGCAGAAGGCATGGTAGGACCCTTCCCACACCAGAGATGAGCCTTGCTGCCATGCAGAATAACAGAGAGTTATGAGCTGCACCAGCCAGTTCCGAGACCTTACTTTGATGTCCAGTGCTGCCTGCTCTTGCTTCTGCTCCCAGCTCCAGGCCTGCAAGGACACTGTGGTTCCTTGACCTGACTTTTTTTCAGACTCTGACCTGTTGCTTCCCCACAGATAGCACAGCTGGCATGTGATAGCCTCCTGTCCAGTCCCCTAATCTCTGACCTCTTTATCTTATCACTGGGAGTTACTTCTCACTTGTCCTTCCTTTTTCCTTGCCTTAGTTTACCCCAGTGCTGACCACAGATTTCTTCCCTCCCCGTGAATTAAGAACCAAGTTGAACACCCAGTTTAACACCAATAGATTTTCACAACACACCTAGTTTCAAATGCAGTTTGCAGGTCTGAGTTTACACTATGCAGTTTCCACAAAATTTAGCAGTGGGGCACCAGAGCCATCTTTCAAAGGAAATCAGGTTTGTCGACTTTCTATTCCCCTCACCTCTCCTGAGGGCCCATCTAACACAGGTTTCCACCCCAGGGTTCTTGCCCTCTATACCCCATTACACCTCACAGGGCTGTGCTCCCCCCTCCTCACCTCGCAGCCCTTCTTTCACCATGTGTCTGCTGCGGGGAGTTGCGGCTTCATGCCTGAACGAGTCGCCCCGCAGCAGCTGCTCCACAGTACAGGACCCTCCAAGTGGGCGGGCTCATATTCCCCAGCGCACAGGAGATGGTCCCAGGCTGCTTGCAGCCCTGCCAAAGAGCCACCTGCCCTGCACACCGGGCTGGCCAGGAGCCCTGCACAGCTGGTGTGTGGTTAACAGCCCAGGGGAAGGCCGGCTGGGCCAGGTCCATAGGGCTCCTGAAGCACTGGGGCCCAGCCAGCTCCTGGGATTGCCTGTGCCTAAGGCTGGCTCTGCTGGCTTGCTATATTAGCCCTAGTGGAGCCTGAACAGAACAACATGATGAAACATGTAATTAAGATGGAGCTAAGGATGCATGACGAGGCCGACTGAGCGAGAAATGGATTTGATTTTTTTTTTGTCTCCTTGCAGAAATCATCCACTTCAGCAGGAAACTACCCATTCGGATTTTTATAAGCCCGAATTAAAAAGAAATTACTTGATACAAATGAAAAGGTTTATGACCTGCAACCTCCTTTACCCAAAGCATTGCTTTTTGCCCAGAACAAACGTATCACATACAATACATAGTGCTCTCTTTTAAACAACTACTCCAAAAATTAAAAGGCCACAAAATGGTGCCGCTTCCTCCCCCCCACAAAGTGAGAAGGAGAAGGGGCAGGCCTACCCTCTTGTTTGTATCTGCCCCCCATCAGGTCTCCTGCTTCCTTGGCAGAGCTTTGCTCCTCTCTGTAGTACATCCTCCAGAGCTTCACTTTGTTTAGTTTAAATGATTAATGCAGAAGAGCTTACAGGTTTTCCTTGGAGAGACTTTTCCAGTCTTTACAGACCTCACAGACAAAAAGGTTTCCTAATATTCAGGTAACATCCTTCTCTACTCACTTTCATTTTTTTTCTCCTTGTTCGTCCCACAGATCACAAGGAAAAAAAAACAAACCCTTCCGTTCTTAGTGGAGCAGCCCTCCCATGGCAGTAAAAGGCAAAAAAGGAATCCATTTTAAATGGAGATGGATGGGTTGTAAATGGGATTAGGAGTCATGGTTACCTGAGATAGCTGAGGTCTAAACCTGGCATTTCAGGGGAGCCACTTCAATTCTATTACTTATGACGCTGCAGCTACTGGGGTCGAGGAGTGGGAACAGCTGGCATTCCCCAGTTTGGGAAATGGAAAAGGATGCAATGAAAAGGAAAATGCTTCAAAGAAGAGACTCCCTTTATTTTCTTCCTGCCCTATTCCCCCCGCTAGCTAGTCAGCCTGCTCAGGACTGCAATGGTCTGTGACACTGGCATCAGTATAGGTACCATAGCAGGAACTCCGAACAGCTGGGGTTGTCTAGGGGAACATGTCTCTCTCCCCCCAGCCATCATTCTCCAGCTGGGAAGGGCATGTCCTTGAGACACTCTGCAGTACAAAGAGGGGCTGAAATACCCTCTTTCTTCCTGACTTGTGGAGACTCTTCTACCTCTTCCACCAGGAACCCTCTGTGGCCCCACACTTGCTGTAGAGGAAAGGGTGCTGCCCAGCAGGGCATGGGGCAAGGCTTGGGCACTGGGGAGACCATGACTGGGACCAGGATGGAGACACACAACATGCACAGTCTTGAGAGGAGCTGAGCAGGGCAAGGTCACCAGTACCAGGCTGGTATGCAGGTATTGCTCACGTTTCACATCATGATACTGGCATTGTTTTTACCATGACAGGGAAAGGAATAGTTGTACCACGATGCAGACAGAAGGGATGGACGGTGATTCTGGTACTCACATCATAGACAGGAGGTGGTGGTGGTGGGCTGGCTGAAGGGAGCTGAGTTTCCACCTTCTGTCTCAGGATATTTAGCTGGCTCCTTCTAGGGCACAACACCTGCTCGGGACAAGACATCAAATGACACATTTGGAGAAAACACAATCTCCCCAAAGCTGAAATGAACACCAATGTCATAGCAAAGCCAGCTGCTTGCACATCTCCTGAATGCTTCCACAGCAGAGTGCTGGCAGTGTCTGCACAACACATGCTGGTCACTTTCCTCACCACAGGGTAACATGTAGGAGTCCCGTGACTTACACTGGAGCAGTAGAAAGGAGAACTGGGCTCTGTGTGTACATATAAAGCACTTTCACCACTGAAACTTTACTGGGCGAAGGGCGTAAGTATTTTACAGCACAGAACAATGCTGTAGGACAAGGAATAAAGTAGGGCCATCTTCATAGTGCACAAGGGAATTCCAGAGAGGCAAAATGCAATGACTTTTGTCAGGACTTGGCCGGGAAGCTTCTGCTAATACGCAGGGTCAAGAGAAGAGCACCAGACAAGCATTAGTGATGACATATAGTCAGTGATACACTAATGTGCAAGTCCAGCATGGGGTTGAAGGAAGAAGGTGCCTTCCTCTGAAATGTTTCTTGCATCAGATGAGTTCTCCTTGAACGTGTTCCATTCACACATAGAGAAGCTCAGCAAGCAAGGGAGGAGGCAGAAAAGGAAGAAGGCTTTGCTTTGTTCTAATTCAGAAAGAAGTGGGATGATTATATTCACATCACATGAAAACTATGAACTGCTTTCCAGTCCATTAGTAACTAAGGAGGATGCTAAATAGCTTTTCTTAAAGATAAACATTTTTAAACCAGCAGGTCTGAGCAAGCTGTGGTGAGAAATATGGGCTGTGTTCTGCAGGAGGGCAAATATAATGACTGCACGATCTCTTCAGGCCCCAAGGACAGCCCATGAGTCTAAGACTTGCAGGCCTACCTCAAAACCTAGAGATGCCAATTGGCGAGTCGTGACACTGCCCTCCCCTCCTCATCCCCACGGAGACACTGTCTAGGCAAACAGAGATGGGGGCCTGTCTCCAGCTGACTTGCTCTGCTTCTTACATTCCTTCCCCTGTATCAGGCTGCCAGCAAGGCAAGTCTCACGAGATTAGCAGGTCTGCCAACTGCTGCCATTCTGCTTTCAACCTCATGATCTCTGACTGTGTGTGCTGAAGCCTGATGCTCCTTGGAGTCAAAGGACTGTACAAGCAGCACAGCCTCCACATAAAAATGCATGCAGAGAGCCTGCTGTTGTGGTGGCAGAGAGCAGCCTGAAGAAGTAAATATGGGGCATACTCTACCTAGAAAACAGCAATCCCCAAGCTCCGCTTTAAAAGACATCAGGTATTTTTAAGCCAGCCTTGAGATCTCTGGAAGAATGCAGAGGATGCAATTTGAACACCCGAGGGTGGCAGTACTAGGAGCTGAAGGTTTTTCCCAAACAACAGAGATTCAAGTATCATGACTCCAGACACTTTTCCTCAGAGCCCCTGTCTCATCCCGATCTTTTGCCCTGTTTTTGGCTTTTCTTCTCCTTCTCTCTAAATCCTTTCTTCCCCACACCCGGTTTCCCCTTTGCCCTCAGTTACTCATCCCAGCTTCCACTTCCTTACCCAGCTTATCCCAGCCTGGTCTGCTAACCCAAGGGGCCCTGTCAGTCCAGTCTTAACACCCTCCTCCGAGAACCAGTGCTTCTTTGCTCCAGATTCCAGTCCCAGTTTCCGCCCTCAGGCTCATTCTTCCAGCTTCACAGAATCATTGCTGTTGAAAGGTGCCTCTGGAGATTGTCTAGTCTAAACTTCCTCTGCTCAAAGCAGAGTCATCTAAAGCTTGTTGCTCCTCAGGCCCTTGTCCCTCTCTTTTTTTCCCCAGTTAGTTGTAATTTCCACACATGCTTCCTTGGGATCCTTGTCATGACCTTTCCCTCTCTCTCTGCCTCTTAATGTTTCTCTGCAAACTCATGCCCAAAGCTTTGGTCCCCAGCCCCTCCACACTGCAGATTTTTTTCTTCTATGGTGCACAAGCTCAGGAATGCAGCTGCAGAATTCCTGAACCAGAGTAACCTCCATCTTGAAAGAGGATTAGAAACAGGGAATGTCATGCCCTCCTCCTGCCATCAGGGTTGCAACAGAGTTGCTTGGGTGCACAGGACATTACCTGTCTGACTGGCAGGTAAGGCCCCCTCACAGGGGTTTTAGACAACTGAACTGCTAAACTGACGAGAGCCACAACTGAGTATGCACAAACTGCAATTTTCCAAAATTCCATCACAAAGCTACATCTCCTTGAATGTTTTCAGGGCCAGCACACTGCTAGTGTGACTTGCTGCCCTGTGTCAAACCCTTGTTCTAAAGCAGAGCATGCTGGAGTCAAAACAATTACCAGAATTTCTTTAATTATTGACTCTTTTTGTCTTTCCTGTAATATTTTTTTTCTCAGAAAAACTGAACTTAAGAAAATAAACCAAGGCAGACACCCAGCATGGAAAATCTCAGGACAGGGATTTCCAATCCAGCCAAGTTAGAAGCAAATGGAATTAATTCCTAGAATGGGTCATGTCAGGTATTGGGTTTTATTTGGTTATAACTTGCCTTTCTTTTCCACAGAAGCAAAGCTGTTGCGATGATGCTCAATGCAGCAAGAAGAACAGTAAGGGTAACAAGGATTTCCCACCCATAAGAGGTATCTATGTACCCTGTACCTGTAAGAAAGAAGGAAAAAGGTTTACAGTGTGAGTGGAAGTTACAATCCTGCTGTGTTTTTAGCCCTGGAAAAAGCCTTGAGAGAACTAAAATACAGGACTGGAGAGTATGGTGGCAGAGATGCACACAACCTTCAAAACCCACTCCGATTGAAGAGAAAGCAGAGTGAAGCTGCAGAATCACACAGAAGAGGCAGGTTATAAGCAGCTCCATGTCATATAGTGCATTAGATGGAGGTGATACAACTATGAGAGCCAAGAAATGTGGCAGATAGAGGCTGGCAAAGGTCTTGTGATAGGAGCAGAAAGACAAAGGGTGGAAAGCACACAGGCCACACAAACTAGGAGGGTGGGTACTGTAAGCATCCTCTGACCAGCATAGCAAAGCTATTTCATTGCAGCTCTTGCATTTACACTAACAAGTTCTTCGTATCCAGCATTCAGAAATGCAAATCCAGCCAGTCAGCAGCCCGTCCTTATCACTTTTCTTTAACATTCCTCTTATGTTGCATGAAGCTTTCCCTTGCTTTCCGGTCTGCCCATTAACAGACCAACCAAAGCCTTGCATCACGTGGAAAACAGGGAGGGATGTTAGTCAGTCCCTAACCTGTTCATGAGCCCCTAGCAGTGAGCACCGAACCTGTACATCTCATTACAGCAAGCGCCCTAAGGACTGACCTTATCAGCTGCCTCTGCCATAGTGCTGAAGGCCAAACCGCACTATCTCTTCAACATTGGCACTTAAAAGCACCATCCGACCCCGTGCCAAGGCTCCCTGGATAGATCCTGACTCCCAGGAGGCTGTGGCAGGGCAGATAAAAAATACTGCATCTTCACGTTCCCCATCGGGAACAGTAGCACGGGTCCCCTGTGCAAGGCGCATTCAACCCCAATGGCAGTAAGTACTGGGCATGAATCATTATTCCCACCTGATTTCATGTTTGGGTAGACGAAAAGAAGAGCAAAGACCATATTTTCATAGCCAGATCCAGCTGATTTTTAACCTTCTGCCCTTCCTTCTGGTTGTTCACTTACCTCTAGCGAGGACAAACACTCCCTTTCCCACTTTCTGGATGTCATTCCATTTGACCTCGCAGTAGTATGTGCCAGTAGAAGAGGTCTTTTCAAGTGGCACAATTCTGTGGTCATAAGATATGGCAGCAGTCTTATTCTCTTCTCCAGAAGGAATGGGTAAGTTTTCTGACCTATTATAGATGGATGTCTTCTGGCCCAGTGAATTAATCCAGTAATAGCAGATTGAAAATTTGGTGTATTTCGGCATGTAAGGAAAGATGACTTTACAGGGGATGGATATTTCTTCCTTGAGCAGCGCAACCTGGATTGGAGGTTTCTGCTGTACATCAACATTTTCCCCTGTAAGGGTAATAAGTGTTAGCAGTTACCTAACATCGCTTTCAGTCAGGAGAAGACGGCTGTCCCAAAGACAGGATCACACGGAAAGTAACCATATGCCAAGAAGCACGCCCAGAGCACACAGTGTTGGCCCTTGTCAGAAACTGAGTGATTCGGAGCATGTGCCCTGTGTGATCTGCCACATCTCTTAGGTAATTGCTGTCTGATTTCTGATAGCCTGCTGCATTCACAGGCTTCCCCTTTTCTCTTGTGAGCTCCTCTGTACAACACCAGCACACAGAGAGACAGGAAATGAAGCAGGAAGTGAACTGATTTTGCAGTGGTGTGAGACTGTATTTATAGGGGGTGAGTAGAAAGCGATTTTCCAAGACAAATGCTAGCTAGACATCTCCTGGAACTCTTGAGTTACAAGCTTCTGCCTGGGCATCTACATGTGGCCATGTGATGACTCTGTGGCAGTGAAGGTGTTGTACGTCAGCGGGTGTTACCAGTGGCACTGTGTATTTCTGAAAAACAAGTGGGGAAGGAAATTGCATATTCCATACAGGGGCCAGCACCAGGGCCATGAGAAATAAGCCACAGCTTAATCACTCCAAAGTTTTGCTGCTGTAAAAGGGCAGCAAAGTACAAGCCTTGATGCCAGATATGGGAACTATCTGCAGAGGACTGCAGATCTTAAGTATCTATATGTGACAGTATCTTAAGCAGAGAGATGGAAGATCACACTCTTCATGTGCTTCCTCCTAACACATACAGGGCAGTTTAAAGTGATTTATCACTGCAATTCAGTAGACAATGACGTCAGGAGTTACAAGAGAGAATGAATAAGCACAGAAGTGGAACCACACCACAGTTCACTCCCTGTTTTGTTTAATGAAAAGTAAAAAAAACTTAGAGTGAGCCACAGGCTGGTAAGGAGCCTGGGGTACAGGATTTCTTTGGCTTCCCAGCCAAATCTGGGTTTAACATCAGGCAGTCTCTAGATCTACTTGTTTGGCACCTGACATGATACCATATATAAAGCAATTTAAGAGGAGGCTGTTTAAGAAAGGGAACTAGAAACTTACACACAAGCCTTCTTATGAAATGAAGGATTCTTTCAGAGATGTGAAAACAGAAGAGGGAAAAAAGGGTAGAGAGAGAAAGTAGGGGATGGGCAGGCTTTTCATTCATGCTTTTGATGGGATTCCCTGGAGTTCTGCATCTATGAACAGGCTCATAACAAGGTATTAGAGCTGTCCCAGAGCACAGCCAGGCTTGCTTTCCTGTCATCATGCACTAACACTGCATCACAACAGCAGCATCACCCCTGCACAGCGGGATCTGGCATTGGAAAAGGCAACTCAGACTTCGCGCTGCTTAATGCCGAGCACTGAGGAAGGGGTGGGGGGGCAACAATGGAGGGAGGGCATGGCCACTGCCCAGAAAGGACTGTTGGGAAGTAACATCCATTAAGGAAAATTCTCTACAGATCACATAGCCAGGGACAACAGCCTGAGAGTAAGGAAGAGCTTAGCTTACATCACTAGAAAAAGGTTCTTGGCCGTAAAAGCAACCAAGATATAGTACAGTCCTCAGGGACATGCTCATTCTTTGTGAACACACAGTCCTGTGTACACTAGGAACAGTATTATGGAAAGAAATCACAGAAAATCCTGCAGACACTGTGGGAGTGATAACCCAAGTGGTTTCTTCTGGGCCATATTTTTCAAAATCATTCATCATCCTTCTCCTCATCTCTACCCAGCAGAACACACATGAATATAGTTTCTGTACAAGACATGGCTAAGGACTGCTGTAACAAAGCAGAGGAGAGATCTATCTTCTTGCAGTATCCCAGGAGCCATGAGCTTGAGAAGAACATGCCAAGGAAAAAGCCAAACCATTTTATTTAGGTTATCTAACCCTTCTCCCATGTTTCCCCTTTCTTGAGGATTTGCTCTCTCAGCTTTGAAATGCTTAAAAGACAGAAATAGCAGCAGCGTGCAAATTCCTAGAGGGGATCTCTGGAAATTAGCAAAAGATAGCAGCTGGAAATGCTCTAATATGAAAAAAACATGAGAGTAAACAAAAGGAATTTAAAAAAAAAGTATTTGTTTACCTCCACACTGAAGCAACCAAAGAAAGAGGAAGATGACTTTTAGATTAGAGGCCATGATGGGTGTCAAAGGCTGTAAGAAAACAACAAGACAGGAAGATCCAAAAGGCAAAAGAGATGGGGATTTGTCAGGTATTTCCATGCCTGGGCAGCTGGTTGATCCCCTCCCCTTTGTGAAGGGACAGGCAGGATGTACACACACTGCTTTTGGCAAGCAGTTCCTGGCAGATGCAAGCTCTTCTGCTTTTCGGTCAGACTCCTCCCCGCACCAGGGTTAATATTTCTGTACTACCACGATGGTGTTACACCTACCAGCGGGTGTCCAAACATTAGACCATAAGCACTTTAACACACAGAGCTTTGTCTCCCGATGACCGTAAAATATTGCCCACATTTAAAGCAAATTTTGTCACCCTCCAAACTGATGTGAACACTCAAGTGTGGGATCCCTGTTTTGTCTTCAGTGCAGAAAACCAGTACCCACATCAGCAGTCAGTACAGAGAAATGGCTCCACTGTACTCCTGACTCCACAAAACATCCCTCCACAGCCAACTCCTCCACCAGGTCCCTTCAGAGGAAGGCACTCATATTCACAAAGTGAGAACAACCAGACAGCAAATTCATCCCTAACAGCTGGGATGCTTCAGATCCACACCATGCTGGCTCTGAATCAGCTTCGCAATGCAGGCAAGCTTTAAGTAATCTATTGTAGTCAAACCTAAGGAGAGCCCTTTGAAGAAGAAAACTCTCTTTTTGTGGGAGGCTCCTGCCGCCTATACTCACGAAGAGTCTTTGATTTCAACAAAAGCTTGTTTTTAGCTAAGACATCTGCAATGCAACAGCTGAGCAGCATCTGACTCATAAACTCCCCCCCCATGTCTGAGAGATCTTCACTTCTCTCTAGGCAGCTTCCTCCTTTCGCACTTCTTGTGAGACATTTGCACTATCCACAAGAAAGCACATTGCTGCAACTTCAAGGGTGCCTGCTCCCACGGGGTGCTGTGCTGTGGAGACTGGTGGGGGATGGCCATGGGGGAAAAGACCTAAGGCAGCAGATGAGCCTGTAAACTGCACGTCATCAAAAGCACTATCACTTGTTTTGTCCATCCAGAGTTTGTAGGAGTGAGGTCTGCTCCAAACAACCTTTGGTTTACAGCATTTTTCCTCCTGTTCAGCCTGGGACAGGTCCTCAAGAGGAAGGGGTCTTGTAACAGGGGGAGGTGTGCAGCCGTGGCCACTGTGGCCCCCTGACCCCAGGGATGGCTCCAATACCTTGGTGAGAGCCCTGACAGATGGGGAGAGGAGCAAGTGGCTTTGTGTGGCTCTGCAAGGCTGGTGCAGTAGCTGCATTCCTCCAGGGAAGGTTTAGCTCAGATTAGCCAAAACCAACTCCTCTCCCCAAGACATGCTGATGTGAGCTGGACGGGGCTGGTCTCAGCTGGAAATTGCTCCTCACAGGTCTTAACGCTGAGCAGCAAGGACAATCAAGAGTGGTAACAAGACACTTGGGGCCCAATTGGTATTTCA